TCAGTTATAGAATATGAGGTTCTTAGGAAGTGAAAAATTTTGAATTAATTTTGTTACAAGTGAAAACAACCTTGCTCACTATTTTCCAAATGTTTCTTGCTCGAATATTTTAGTTCATTTATCTATGCTGCTCCCTTATATGCTGGAAACATCCAACACTCCTGCCTTTTGCTTAGAAACAAGCGGGTCACGCATAGTGTTCCTTTTATTACAACAATTTCGCATTCATATGCTTACTTATTTTTGCCAGCGGAAACAAGCTAATCAGTTCTCACCGTCCATATCGACGTATGACATGCTGCTCAGCTGTGAGTTGTCGTCAAATTGTGTCGTCGAAAGCTTTCTTTTATCCGGTGGCCCTAAATCATCAAGTTTATCAACTGGTTCATGAAACACTATAACAGCGATTTTTTGTAATGAGAATGCGGAAACTTTTCAACATAGATCGGACGATTTTCATTCTATACAATCCTGCTGAACAAAAATCCACTGATCTTACAGGAAACGTTATGCGCCGTCTATTTCAATCCAACCCGTTCAGAGCGGTAATAGAACTCGCTGCTCGCAGCACATATCGCAAAGAGGAAAGCGAACTTATGTGTTAGGAAAAGCGTTGATTTACTACGCATTTACATTGTTCTTAGTATCCAGTCAGCTATAATGAGTTGCACAAAGGAGATTGCGACATAAATTCTCTAAATTTTGATAGCTCCAATTATATACAATATCTAAAAGTCATAACAGCGCTTTTAAAGGAGAAAACAATGAATAGTTCGCCAAAAACAGTAATACTTAGTGCATGCGATATCAAGTCATCTAATAACTAGTAACACTGCAGTTTTGAATTACTGGTGGACTTCAGAGGTTAGGACTTAGATAAAACTATAAAACGGGCACCCTTCTATGGTTCTATGGGCAGTCGTTTTGATGTGTCCACTTAGCTCACGATGAAAATTACTCGTCGCTGCAACGTTTGCCACTGCACATGTCCACCTACTTTGAAAATCTTCGAATTTTTTGTTGATTACCCTCAAGGCGATTTCTACCTTCCACAATTCCAGCGTCTCGTAAAAACTTCAGCGTGATCACGTGCAGGTGGTCACCAGGGAACCACATAAATGGCCCACCTAACTGCTTCGCATTGGCATCCTCCTCCACTTTAACTGCTCGGAGACACAGATTTTATTGGTTTTAACGAATATTTGTACTTCACATGTACGTAGAGAAGTCAAATACTTTTGCGTATTCAGAGAACTCTGGGTGAAAAGCCACAGCATTTTTGAATAAGTTGTTAGTGTACTGCATAATTCATGTCCGTTCATCATTTTTTCGCTTTTTCACTCTGTGGATCCCTGCACTTCTAGCATCTTATCGTTTTTTCGTCTTCTTCTTGAACGTCGTAAAAAGCTGGCTGAGCGCGTCCCACTGCAATGTCAAGGATAGCCTGGGCGTGACGTTTGATAGGGCGTTTGTTGCTAACTAGCGGAGTGCTGTGGTCGGGGTCAGGTGCAGCACACCGCGATCACAACCATTCGGTCATGACGCCCCTTTGTTCATTATTACCACTCGGAAATCACTTTCTTTGAAGATGCGCTTTCGGAAGCGGTTTGAAAGAGTAACTGTAAGTAAGTTCACATTCCTAAGCTCCGAAGAGGGGCAGACCATCGAAACGTTATCCAATATTGTGCTGTTTCTGAGTATCACAAGAAGAGCATCGATAAAGAGATGATATGTGAGTGGTCATAGTAGATGTCGTTACCCGAAATCCTACCCTACACTTTGATGGCGGTGGAAGGTGATGCAGAAAAACGTAAAACTTAGGTAAAAGATGTCAATCGACATCTACGAACTGTTCATGCACTACCTCGTAGAAAAATTGAAAAACAGGCAAGTGTATGACCATCGCACGAGTGGTGAGGGTAAAAAGACGGTCTTACTCTTACAAGATAGATCACAAGAATGAGTAGTGAGAGTTGAAAATATGCTCGCTTTCGAAGGATGTCCGACTATTTAACTACTAAATGACTGTGAGTTCTATATATAGTACAGTGGGAAAGCAGGTAGCAGTACTTGTTTATTGTCAGAAGTGAAAATTGAGCGCGACAAGGGTAAACTGATAACCGGGTGCTTATGTTCGAGCAAAGCCAAACTGGTCGTTGACTGATGCTGACTGCATGAGTTGTTGATTGTTAAATAATACTCGAAATATCTAGTATTTTTGCTGCTTCTTTCGCAGGGTTATTATTTTTCATAAATACCAAGAGAATTGAGTGGGTGAGCAAAACGGCCTCAGGCGGAAATTGAACCAGCATTTCATCCTATGCGGGGACGCGTGCTCTACCACTATACCACCGAAGCACATTTGCACCACCACTCATTCTTCAACATCTCTATGCTGGTTATCAGCCACCAATCTTTAACAATTTGGTCGGATATGCGATTTCGCTTTGTAAGCCCAGTTGAGCTGACAGCCATCCGATAAATAATACTCGAAATATCTAATATTTTCATTGCTAGCATAGAGATGTTGAAGGATGGGTGGTGGTGCAAATGTGCTTCGTAGTGTAACGGTAGAGCACGCGCCCCCAAAAAGGAGGAAACGCGGACGGGTTCGATTCCGATTCCAACCTGAGGCCGTTTTTTGCTTACCACTGGATTCTCTTAGATTGTTAAATATTTTGAGTGGATTATCTAAACCATTAGTAGAAAGTTTCAACAATTTGTATCAAGAAAATACACACTTTCCAAGGACTACCAAAAATTGATGAATACTGGACTCAGTCAAGCGTTATGCCAATGACCTACTGGAAACACTTCCAGAAAAGTGACTGCTAGAAGTCACACAATGTAGAAGATGCGACAAAGTTTCTTAAAATCAGAATTTTTTTCCGAACCACAAGTTTCTCGAACTTGAAGAAAAAATGTTATCTTCTTTTCATCAGTAGATCATACTGCAGTTTTTATTTTTTAAAAAAAGCTCTATGATAGAATCAGAATTCTCAACTGTCGAATAACTAGGAGAATATAGACAAAAAGAAAAAAGAAATACTCAATACTAAATGGAAATGAAAAACTTCTTGCGAAGATGTTTTTCTCATGGAAAAAGGAGAAATTTTTGACGCATGTCCGTTATTTTCACTAGAAACGCCTTTATAAAAGTTTTCCTTGTAACATTGTCCTTTAAATCAGCGACAAAGTGCCTCTATCACATGAACGTTATTTCTTCATTAGACTGTTTTTATAGATCTCGTTCAAAAAAAAAATATGATAATCACACAACATGTTCTGAGCCTTTTGTTAAATGTGATAAGGCACTTCTACAATGGTAGACAGGCCTATTTCTCCCTTATAGGCTCATCAGTAGCACACTGCCTTTCGGTTCAACCGATCCCTTAGGGATACACCCTTATAAAGGATTTAATGAAGAATAACAAATCACCTCATGTCAGGTGATAAATTTCCCGACACTGCAGTGACCAACAGTCGAGTTCACGGCTGGTAAAATGAACCATACCTTATCATACGACTATAATCATGGATCTCGCACAAAACAAAATCACAAAAGATGTTTTGGACCATAAACTTTACTAATAATTATCAAGAAGCTGCCTGTGAAATGCAGGCGACGAAGTAATCACTCGGAGTGCGAAACATGATCTTGTTTTTGCTCTTACAGCATTCTGTAAAAATCTTCCTGCAAATCAATTCAAGCTTTAGAATCGCCCAGATTTGAGCTACTGAATGACTACCAAAGATCTATTAAAATCAATCCACAGTCTTTAGACGAGTACACAAAGCAAACCGAGTGTGAAACACAAATTTACTTTCGCTACTACAAAGCAATAAGAAAGCGTTTCTGAGCGCAAAACACCTTTAAAGCATGTTCTATACCCATAAATACAACAATGACCCGCAAGGAAAAATGCCTCGCTATCTCGAGTAATTTGATACAGTATCTAAAACTGATTTTCTGATATGAGGCATGCACCAGCAGCTAATGTAAGCCTTGTACAGTTTCTTTCCTTTCAAATTACTGTGTGAATGGCTCAACAAAACAGCTAGTGAATGGGAATACTGTTATATTATCCGTGAAATTGGATTACTCTCGTGATTTTTCTGTGGGGTTCTGGAGGTACTTGTTCAACTTATTTGCAGTCGATTTGAGCTTCTCCAGCTCTGTATAGGAGGAAACCTATGAAACCTTGTGTGCGAAATCAGTCCATATCTAGCTTGTCAAAAAGGCTAGTAATTAGTCGGTCTTGGGAGTTGTTATACATTGTTAGGAACCAGTACTATTCGTAAAGTCTTTGAACCATGCGCGTCTGACAGGGGCATCAACACCCAACGTACCCTACGGATACTATAAGGTGTCCCTAGGGTAGAAAAATTACAGCTCTTTAGAACGAAGATTTGAGCCTTTCCGAGCCTATTTCCTCTTTGCAAGCCGGTTGATAGAACGATAATTTCAAGTCGTAGATTGCCGAGTGTTCACTGATTTTTTAATACTGAAGAAATAGTGATTGTAATATAAAGCTGTGATTGAGCGATACTTTAGGTGTTAAAAATAGTGCATGCGACGTGTGTTGACCCTTCGAGTTTATTTCTCAAGCGGTTGGCGGCGGGATCGCGCGAGAAGTGCAGCGCGTTATAATGATAATGGGGTAATTTTCTAACCAAATCTAGATTTTCATCACCAACAAAAAGGGTTCATTAGTTGGTAAACAAAAATTTACGACAAGGAAAACTTCATTGCTAAGAATTTATGGTTAAAACCTGTTGAACGATTTACAAAGTAGTAAATTTTTTGTCGAAAATGATATTGCACATTACAATAGAATGCCTCTCTATCGATAACAAGGAACAACTTTTCGTCATTGGTGGACTTTAGAAGCTGATACTTTTGTAGAATTGTAGAAGAGGTTTTGTTCTATTGTATTACGGACAAACTTCTTATATTCACTTAACTCCGATATCGATATTATGCACCGCTGGAACTCTTGTCATTGGACAAGCGCACTAATTCTACGTGCTCTCCTTATTATATTTTTTTATAAGCTTCTTCATAAACTAGGTTTACTATTAAAACTAGCACTTTTCAAGCTGTGGAATGGTTCCTAATAGTCTAGCGAAGAGTTTCTTCACGAGAAAAGCCGAGGAAAGACTGGTACATTCCACACAATACGACTGCATTCCCTACAATTTCTAATACAAGCGTTTTTCACTAAAGTAAGTTCATCCAATAATAAGTTATGATTCCAAGCGACAAAGCTTGCTATGCATCAATATTTCACTACATAAATAATTTCACTACATATATAATGTGAAGCTGAAACAACGCATGAAGACCATTTCGCAAGCTAAGCTTAGTACTGATATTAGCATTTCTCATGCTAGCGAACAGTTACATAAATATAAACAGAAAAAGTGCAAACAAATGTTAAATAGCAATAGTGTATATGTTTATTTTGCAAGGATGTGGATTTCTTGATGAAATATGAAAAACTTTGACACAGGCGTCTTCAAAACAAAAGAAACCCTCTTATAAAGTCTCATATGTGCTATACTAATATGTATTGACGACAACGTCCACTCAGGACCTCATTTATCAAACAAATTTTCATATTTCCATTGCACCACGCGCGGTGCGAGAAGTTAAGAGCAGTGGCACATATATTTATTTCAGTCATATACGTGTCACTTGACACTCATAGGGTTAAGAAAGGTTGAATCAGTATCTGACAGAGTATACCACTCACCATAATCTCGTGATTTATTCTCACTCAGTAGATCCGTAGTCTTGTCGGCATCTTCAAAAGCCGTTTGTAAGTTTTCTATCTGGATGCCTACAAATATATGAAAATCTCTCTCATTGAGAATGCCCACGAAGATCCTGCCAATGAAGC